AGCTGCCATGCTTCAAAATAATTAACCAGTATATGATTTATTTTTTTTAAACAAGCTTCTTCTATGCTTATGTTAGTCTGTTTGTCCTTATCCAGAGTTCTTCATAATCCTGGACTGGGCCAAATCCTGACCAGATGCTGTGGTGGTCATGGAGGAGTGAATCCTAAAAGACACACGTGATCAATGAGTTTCCGCATTGATCCAATGGGCCAGCCTGACCACCCGCTGGTGAACTTTCAAGCCTCCGGTGCCTATACTGCGGCCTTGCACAAGTTTGGCTAGAGGAGAACTGGTCGTGCCCAACTGAGCCTGGTTTCACTCAAGGGCTTTTATTCTACACTTTCGTCAGTTGGTGAAGTTTGTTCCATGCCACTGTCGCCACTGGATCACTTGGCTACGATTGGTGGATCGGTGGATTTGCTCTTCAGTGTTTGGACTTTCAGCAGTGACATTTACTGCTTCAATTCTGAAAACTGGACTGAAGCAGCTTCAATTTACAAGAACTTCTATGTTAAGCTGCTTTGACATCATTGATCTACATTGTAAAAGTGCAATAGAAATAAAGATGAATTGCATTTGAACATGTGAATTCAGACCTTGTTGAGCATTTGACACCAGAACTAGTAATATTTTAAAGTTGGGTTGTTTCTGAGTCGGCTAATAGTTACAAATATTTATTTTTCCAACAATATGCAATTCAGAAGTTTAAATTTTTATTGTACATGTATGTTCTAGTGCTTTGTGTGATTTATTTATTTTTAATGTGTTGATTTTATTGCTTAATGTAATTTTCACACATTTTCCTTAAATGCTTTAAGCATTATTAATGTTTTAAAGAATGGAATATTTTGTAATTGTGTCTGGTTTAATGTCAGTAGTACTTAGTACAATTGGTTTTTTTTTTTCTCAACAATATGCAGGTCAGACACTTAAATTAGTTTTGTACATGTATGTTAATGTGCTTTGTCATTTTCAATGTTTTTTTTTTCTTAAAATAAAATATTTTGAATGATTGAAATGTAATGTTTTTACACATTTTTAAGCTTGTTTTAAGCATCTCCAATGTTTTAAATAAAGTGTTTATTTTGTTAATATTTTGTAATTGTGTCTTTTTTAGGTCTATAGTATTAAAATAATATTAATAAAAATTATATTATAAAATATTTAGGACAAAATTAAAAGGTTTACAGTAGCTAACTGTTAACTTAGGTTTTTACAGTAGTTAACCATTTTCAGACACTACGGTAACATGCTGTAAACGGATTTACAGTTGTATACTGTAAATCTAAAATACAGTAACTTACTGGCAACAGTGTTGCCAGTAAGTTACTGTAAAAACCCTTTGAAATGTCTAACAGTGTAAATAAAAACAAAGACTGTGTATTTTTGCACCATCAAATGTGCTTATAATGGAAGTCAATGGGGAAACAACTGCCACCAACAGTAAATTAAGGAGAAAAAATAAAAATTTAACAAGACTGTGATAAAAGGTAAAAAAAAATCCAGTCCACAATTACTTTTTTATTGAAAATATGTCATTTTGTGTTTTTTTCCCCCCACCAAATCAGTTATGTCATTTATGAACTTGACAATTAAAAAGTTAAAATAATTGAAAAAATTAAAAATAATGTAATTTTCTAAACAATTTAGTAGTTTTGATCAGGACTGAGGTTGATTAACAGATGAATGCAAACATTTTGAAAAAAAATATTTATCTGATGCATTTTTACAGTAGTTTAATTCAGTGGATGTTTTAATCGTTAACATAACAAAAGGGTAGTAAAGTTAAACAGTGTACAAGGGGTAAAATGTATTTATAAGATACATTTATACACTTGTCAAAACATTGAAATCAAAGCAATTTTATACGCTTTAATAAATAAAGTTTTTAGTTATGAGATGTAACATTAAGTGTGATTTTCTGGTGCTGGGTGAATAAGAGAAACAACAACAGATATGTGAAATAAAAGAAGTAATTTATTAAATAATGACAGGAAACAATAAATATTAGAATTTAGAATGTAAATTAATTAGTAAAATCAAACAAAAAGCAGAAATAGATCAAACAATCTAACTTCATCATAATTATTCAAAGGAAAATGTAGAAGTCAAAACTGTAATCTTCATGAACTGTATTTGACTCTTAAACTACACCAACTATCCAAATTAAAACTATAGGGGTGGCAACTAGTCAACCTAAGCAACAACAAAAACTCTACTCTGTCACAATCAATAGAGCTCTTGTAAAGTACACAACAATAGCAATTAGCAAAACAATGACTGTCATCTGATAAGCTGATTCTCATTGAGGTCGTTCAACTTCCTAACACTCAGGTAAAGTAGGCGACAAAACAAGCTCAGCTTACAACAAAGTACAGTACTTCGAAATAAAACACCAATACTATGTAAAAATAAAGAAACAATTGGTAGTTTATGATACATTTACAAAAAGTAATTACTATTTTAATGCAAAGTCACAAACCAAACATTTTATGATGATTTTGACATATAGAAAGTTTAAAGTACATTATTACTTTGAAGTTACATATTTTGTAGCATAAAATAAGTGTGCACTGTCACTAATTGGATTAGTTAAAGGCACTGGTGTCAAAATCAGCCGTTAAGTTTTAACTAATCCTTAAGGGGTGTTTGAAACCTGGTAAAGTCAGGGACACACTGCGATTTGAAACAATCTTAAGTGACTGTCTATTGTCAGACTGCTCAAACATGATTACTACAGTGTCACACTTAAGATTTCAGTTGTCAGACTGAATGACAATGAAGACGCTATAAACACATATTATCTGAAACTTTCAATAACCCGTGCCTTAAAATATATTACAATACAAAAAATATATATATATTTTAGAGTATTACTGTTTTAACTTTGTTTTGAGTGTCTTGTTAGCCTTGGTAAGCATCATTATTAAAGCATAATTTTAAGTAATAGGCCAACTATTAACTGTATATTTCCCGCTCATCATTCCCACTTTAAATGCTTCTGAATTATGTATTGCGTTTGACATTCAGTCTGCTTAGGTTGATAATATACAAGTTATTTGAGAAGTTGTCTGGCACCACTGTGTAACATTGCCTGTCTATTTCAGTTTTACACCAGAGAACCAGGGCATCAAATAACAGGGTAAGTCTCATTTTTTGTTGTTGTTTTGATATTTGATATATTCAGTTGAGCAATTTCGCTCGTTGTCTTTTAACACAATAATTTTAAAAAATTATATAAAAAATTATATATATATATATATATATATATATATACACACACACACACACACACACACACACACACACACACACACACACACACACACACACACACACACACACACACACACACACACACACACATAACTGATGTATTTTATCTTTGCCATGATGACGGTTAATAATATATGACTAGATATTTTTCAATACACTTCCATACAGCTTAAAGTGACATTTAACTAGGTTAATTAGCTTAACTAGACTGGTTAGGGTAATTAGGCAAGTTATTGTGATGGTTATATGGTATAATGATGGTTTGTTCTGTAGACCATGAAAAATATAGCTTAAAGGGGCTAATTTTGTCCTTAAAATGGTGTTTAAAAATTAAAAACGGCTTTTATTCTAGTCAAAATAAATTAAATAAGACTTTCTCCAGAGGAAAAAAATATCAGACATGCTGTGAAAATTTATTTGCCCTGTTAAACACTATTTGGGAAATAATTAAAAAAGAGAAAAAAAATAACCAAATAGACTAGGTTAACAACAAGCTTAAGTGGATTGAACATAAAGCAATAAAGTAAATTAAAAAATTACACTTACTAAAAGTAATAAAAAAACAAAAAAAAATGAACATTATACAAGATTTCTTTGCCTCAATAACATATGGACTGCTAATTCACACTCAATCATCTAACAACAAAAAATCTAAATCTAAATCTCTTCCTACTTTAGCTTAATTGTTTTTTAATCAGAACCTTTGTATTAGTAGCACTTGATGTGAATAATGTCTTCTGATGAATCGCTTGATGCCGTCCTCATCGTAAGTTACTTTGCATAAAAGCAAAGGCAAAGGTATTGGTGTTCACAGATGTGTAATGGTGAGCATGTCATACTCTGAACCCCATTTTGTTTTTAGTAAGTTTTATATTAGTTTGATATCTCTGTCAAAGTATACTAAAAGAATATTAGTATAATGTAAAGTATATTGTAAATGTTACCGGCCATTGTCAGTGCCAGCTGTCACAGTTGCTAGGTGACAAGCTCAGTCCTCTGAAGGCTAAACCATCCCATTTAAAAACACTTTGGCCTCCGTGAACTTTGAAGGATTCAGCCTCTGAATCTGTATTGCCGCTGTTAAGATTTATCTGTTGCTGAAAGAAAACCTCCCCTCTTGACAGAAAACAAAGTGAAAACCCTCTATTAAAATGGGTCTACTATCTTTAAAATAATCATTCAGTTTTTTAACCAGTCTTTGAATGATTCCCTCAATTAAGTTATTTAAAAAATAATCGATTCATTCAGGAGCTCAAATTGGCTTGTTGAATCCAAAGGTCCTGTAGTGTTGGCAACAGATCAAACAAGCAATTATTTGTATTGCTTACCAAGTATAATACACACCAGTCCTCACCCAGTCATGTGTTTTACTTGCAACCCCCAATACAAGATCAAGATTTACGACCCTAAAGAATTCAAGTTTGCCTCTGAACTATCAGGAACAGGACACTGCAAGACTGAGGGAGAGAGACAACCTCCATATCCAGGATTTTATCTATTCTCAGAACAGAATTTGTGTCACTATTATGTACATTGCCCTTTATATTTGATGCTTTCAATGCATGTCTTTTTATAGAACTATTTCATGGCGACTATCAAAATTAGTGTATATCACCTTTGCATAGATCAGATAACATCAAAGTTTCCATTTACAAGCCTGTGAGCCCACTTTATTATGCAAAAAGTCAGACAAACTTTCTCTGCTTGGAGTGTCTCAGAGGCCAGAATAACCTATAGTAGATGTGGTCTCTGAAGCAGTTAAAGGCTACTACTCTATTTCAAACAGTCAGTTGGGAGTCGAAGACACTCAGACAAGATCAACACAAGGAAAAGTTGTGTGCAGTTGTTGTGTGACCATGTGGACGCCATGTGCTGCAGCCAGACCTCGACCTTCTTCATCGAGTCAGAATACCATCTCTGAAGTCATTCTCCAGTCAACCAAGGAGAATTTCATCAAGACATTAATCTGAGATGGCATTGAACACTCGCACAATGGCTGAGACATATGTAAGTATCTACAATTTAACTCAATTGTGAAGGGGTCATGTTTATTTTTCACATAGTTATATTGCCTTGAGCTTGTTTATACTTTCCCCTGCTTCATTTTGGATTCATTTATCCATTCTCACATTGTATGCCTGGTTCTGTGTATTTGTATGTTTAGTAAATGTTTGTCACCTTAGCTTAATTAAACCTTTGACACACATCCACATGAGGGTTGCATCCCTTTACGTGCATCACTTACATCATTTTAATGATTCTGGTATTTGCTATATGCTCTAAGATCAAGCCTCTGAAAGAGAAAAGTTGTTTTTATGGGTCCACTAAAAATCACATTCTGAAAATGAATACAGTCCAAGCTGAATGTTTGCTGGATGAGCCAGTTGAACATGTAAAATGTGTTCTGTTTTACCAAATTATTGAATATAACTCATCTAAATATGTTTAATCAATGAGTTGTTTATACTTCCATAAGCTACTTCTGCTTCCGTTCATACTTCTGGGGCCTCATGTATCAACGCTGCGTACGCACAAAACCTTTGCGTACGCTAGGTTTCACGCTCAGAATCGCTCACGTTTGGATTTACTAACAATGAACTGAACGTGGGAATGTGCGCAGCTTCACGGCAGCTTTCTGGCAGGCGTACGCACATTTTTTGTGCGTGTCTGTTTTATTTCCATTGGCGACTCCTAGAGGCAGTTGTGTTAAATTCCTCTCTACAAAGTGTCTGAGCCTTGCAATGGCAGCTGTATGAGACGGGTTCATCTAGCAGGTATATAAGGTTTCCATACCATACATTTGACCAGCTAAACATTAAAGCACAATTTGCAGCAGTCGCCTGTTTTCCCAATGTAATCTGAGCGATCTACTGCACGCACATTGCTATAAAGACACTAACTGAAGATGAATTTGCATGCGTGAATCAGAAACATTTCCATTCAATAAATGTGCAAATAAAATATGATGCTTATTGATATGAACTTATTGATGATTCCTACTTGTCTTTCTCGTGATAAATAGTTGGCAAAATCTGATATGTAGCGGGGGAAAAAACAAGAATGAGTTCATCAGACGCTGGATTCGAGCCGAGCTCATGCTCGAACGTATCAATTCATGATCACATGCGTCTTACGAGTAGCGCCACTGAGACTGTTAAGCGTCCTGCAACATTTTACAGATATAAACCACACTATTTCTTTTTTTTAATGCACTCAGTGCGATGTTCAGACCCAACTGTGTTAACCGCATCAGCTAAACTCTCCCACTCTATTTTTTTCTTTTGTTGTTAATTCCGGAGAACAAACTTGCAAATAACACCGCTTTTCCCCGGTCTACCTCCGAAAGCAGCACCTCCAATTCACATTCTGTTCAAAGTTTCTCTTTTTGCTTGCTTTTGACATTGCTTTTTCGTTGGGTTTTGCCGTTAGCATAGTCATTAGCATATTCATACGGGGGAGGAGCCAGGGAGGGGTTTTGTGCTCGTGCATGTTGCGCTCAGTTTCACCTTCATTCAGATGTACAAAAGAATATTCGTGAGATTCGGCGTACGCAGTGTTTCATACATCTGAATTTTTTTCTGCGTACGCACATTTACAGCTTTGTGCGTACGCAATGTTTTAGTAAGATTTCCACGCAAGTCTTTGTACATGAGGCCCCTGGTGTCTCTTGGCAGCTCTATGTTTAATATTGTCTTCAAACATAGACAAATTTAGTTTGTTTTGTGCCTGAGCTTTGCCTTTATTTGTGTTGGCCATGTGCTCTTTTTTTTCCAGCATTTAGTTCTTGTAGTCCGTGTTTACTTCTATGTTCTTCACCGGTTCCTTGTGTGCCCTGTCTATTTATTGCGCTATAAAAAGTTTTATTTTTATTTTATTTTTTTACTTATACCCCACACAACATAAAACTCATAAAACAAAATCAACATTCCGGAAAATAATGTAAACAAATTATAATAAAAATAATAACAAAACAAAAATTATTACAAAAAATATTAAATATAAAATAGTACAAAAGACAGCCAAAATTACAACCCTTTAACTTTCCCTTTACATGCTTTCCAAATACTATAAAAAGCATACGTTCATATGATGCAGTAGAAGTCATAAGCTCAATCCAATCTGTAAAAGAGGGAGTTTTTCCAATTTTGCAGGACCAGTTTCACTGCCATAATACATCCTGCAATGACTAGCCCAGTCTATGCTTTAGATATTCCCTTCCATAGAGTGGATGTATCACCAAGAAGACTTGATGAATAAGGTAAAGATTGTCCCAGCCATTTTTCAAGGTTTTGAATGACTCTTGTCCAGAATGGAACCACCAGTTCCACATTAAGGGCCCTATCATACACCCAGCGCAATTTGGCGCAAGACGCAAAGCAATTGTTGTTTTCTAGTTTCAGCTTGGCGCCACACTGTTTAAATAGCGCATGCATTTGCGCTCATATGTGCACTCATAGGCGTTCTGGTCTAAAAAGGATGGCATGTTGATACGCATTGCTGGCACAATGCCATTTTGAGAAACTATAATAGATTATTTAATAAATCAGAACAAAGCCTGTCTATTGTCCAGTGCAGAGTGCGTTAGTTGTGCGCCTTGCTTACACACTGCTTAATACAAACAAGATGTAGAGCAATACGCAAATATCTTTACATTTGAAAAAGAATTAAAATATTAAGGATCAGGTACGTGCACACATAGGGCTCAACCTGTGCAGTGCACATGCCCTTTTTAGTCTCGGATAGAAAGTGGCCTTCCAAAATGATCCCCCGCGACACGTCCGCCCACCATCCCCCCACCTCTCCCTCCCGCTCTTCAGTACGCGCGCGAACCCACCCCCCCTCTTCATTACGCGCGCAACACCCCCCCCCCCAAATTAGAACTGAATTTAGAAATAGTTTATAAACAAATCTTTGAGCTTAACAAACAAAATTAATTATTTATAGGCTAATTGATGTCTGTACATTCAAGGTTTCCCTATCCACGAGAGTGAAAGTGAAAGTAGATAATAAGGAGGCTTATCTCTCATTCTCATGCTGCAGATGCTCTGTTTAACTATTTTCTCGCTAGTGAAACGTTCAGTTTTTCCACTTACAAAGTCCATCATGTAAATAGCAAATGCGCTATGGCACGATGCAACTGGCTCTTAAAGGGAATGGGAGATGAGACTCTGATTGGTTTATTTTCAAAACACACCTATAACTCATTAAGCAAATAAGCTCAACCCTTTTAGACCATGCGTCACAGCGCAAAGCGGATTTTTCCATCCTTATATTAGCAAAAGTGGATTCTGACATGCCCTGAATGCATTTGCACCCTATGCTTTGCACTTTGCTCACGGATCTTCAAAATAGAGTCCTATATGTGAAAAGGTGCCCACAGAAGGACCAAATTTCCAACAGTGGTTATTTTTTCATTAATCCTAGCATATGCAGTCTTATTGGGTTCCAGTAATATCGATTAATTATCTTGTATATGTTTACCTCTAGAATCTTTCACTGGACCCCCTATACCAGAAACTACTGCCTCCCATTCACCCTATTCAAATTCCATCTCTTTCTCCAAACAATTCTTAAATTATCACTTTTTCCATACATGTTGTTTGCAGCAATCTTATAAACATAAGATGAAGTTTGCACTGACTTTGGCATATTTAGAAACCCTATTAAAACACTTTCTTCTGATCCTGCCTTATATCCCGGATCTTATATTATTATGCAGTTGTATATACTTCCAGAAATCCCCTTTATCTAATCATTTGAACTGGTCTTTCAACTCCTGAAATGATTACAGTGCCTTCTGTCCATGTAAATCATCAGTTGTTTTTTAGGCCTTTTTTACACCAATCCTTCCAATACACTGTTTTCGTTCCTGTCTTAATGGCACGGTTATGCCAAAATGAAGAATAGCCTTGTTTATGATCGGACAAATTTTTCCAGATCTGCTGTGTGTTCCAATATAGTGTCGACTTCCCCATCCACAATGAAATGTAAAGATTTCAGAGATAAAAGCATCAATAACACTGCATGAGGTAGTCAGAGTTTCCTCTATTTCTATCCAGCTTATACCCTCTACATTACCACCTGACCAGTGCTTACATATTTTAATCATCTCATGAGATTACACTTTTATTATTTTACTAATTGTTTGTTGGTTCAAGTCCAGGCTGGGCCAGTTGGCATTTCTGTGTGGAGTATGTATGCTCTCCCCGTGTTTGCGTGGGTTTCCTCGACAGCCAAAAGACATGCACGATAGGTGAATTAGTTAAACAAATTCAGCCGTATTGTATGATTGTGTGTGTGAATGCAAGAGCGTATGAATGTTTCTCAGTACTGGGTTGTGGCTGGAAGGGCTGGAATAGGTGGTGGTTCATTCCCCTGTGGCAGCCCTTGATAAATAAGGGACTACGCTGAAGGAAAATGAATGTGTAATCCATCCCAATCTCACAAGGAATGTATTAATCACAAGGAATGTATTAGGAGAAAAGACCCAACCCGTCAATGATGGATGAGCAAGTAAGACTAAATTCTACTAATGAAATTATAGAAATTAATGTGAATTAGCTACTAAATCAAAAACTTACGAGTTCCTGTGAGATTGCGTTGGTTTAAATGTGCTGTATGTGTTCACCAGTTGACTGGCAGTGACTAGCTATGTGGATATTTGGAAATCACATGGTTTTATTGGTTTATTTAATGAGAGATAATAAAGATTTAATGTAAGTAAAAAGAAAAAAGTTAATGATATGAAGATGAAAGAACTTTGAGACAGACAGTATGCATTGAGCAAACTGTATTTTCAAAGACTTGAGGCCAGACATGGTTAATCAGTGAGTGCATTATTTATGAGCCAGTGTTTTGGTTTTGAATCATTACTTCCATCCACGCAGGACTGTTGGTTCATGAAAATTACATGACGACATTTACCCAAACACACTGAGTCAGACAGACTTAACATATGGAAGTTATCTATGCCTTGAAGTGAGATTTCAGTGGTTGATCATTGCTGG